TTGTTTCGCCCTTCAGCTTCTTCTGCAAACGAGCTGCCTTCACTACAACGAAAACATAGATCCTATCCTTCATTTCTTCCATGAAGCAAAAGTAAGCATGTCTCCAAGACCTCTTGATCACCAAAGTTCCACAGACAACCCAAAATCCCACCACAAATCCGAACGCCACTCCTGTGTAGAACCACATCTTCTCAGAGCCATTTTCATCTTTGTTCTTGCCAGTATTGCCTTCTGGAGCATCATTTTTGTGTGTTGAACAATTGGTCGACAATGGAGCTCCACAAAATTTTGGGTTTCCTTCATAAATGGATGGACCATTGAAGGTTAGGAACTGGTTTGCCGATGGGATTGGTCCAAACAGATCATTATGAGACAAGTTCAAATGGCTTAACGATGTCATAGACACGATGCTTGCTGGAATCGGGCCTGAAAGATGGTTGACTGAGAGGTCTAGAGTTTCGAATAGCTGCAAGTCTCCAATCTTCTGGGGGATGTTTCCTGTTAACTGATTCCTAGATAAGTTCAAGGTACCCAAGGCAGAAAGCTTCATTATCCCCTCTGGAATCACTCCTTCAAGATTATTACTCGACAAATCTATCAAATTTACAAGATCAAGTATCTGAATGAATTCAAGTGTTTGCCCTTTTACATTAAATTCCATATCATCCCTATATTGACCATAACCGTATCCCATAAAAGAATTATTTTGCATATGATGCAAGCTGCTTAAATTGCCTAGACATGAAGGAATCAGCCTTGACAATTTATTCTGCCCTAGATCTAGAGCATGGAGATTAGAAAGGAAACACAAATTTTCTGGTATCTTTCCCCTGAGCCTGTTTCCTCCCAACTTTAGTATTTTTAGGCCCGTTAGAGTTTCTCCAATCCACCTTGGAATGTTTCCAGATAATTGATTGAATGCAAGACTAAGTTCCAACAAACTTGTGCAGTTCTGTAATGATGAAAGCTTTCCATGAAGATTGTTGCCATTCAATTTCAAA